ACTGTGACTTTTTACTTGTCAACCTTGAGTTTGTCAGTCTCAGCAGCCAGCAGCTGTCTGAGTGTCAAAATGCCTCTAGCTCCAGTGGACCAGAAGCAGGAGGCAGAGCTGGACCCCAAGGATGAGGGGCTTTCACCCAGCCCCTAAAGCCTGGCACTGGGAACTTGACATAAAGCCTCCAAAGTGTGAGAGAATAAGCTCCTGTTTGTTAAGGTCATCCCATTTGTGGTATATATATTCCTGTCAGAGTGGCACTAGGTAACCAGAACAATGCTTATAGGAGAAATTTTGAAAAATACAGGCAAGCAAAATGAAAAAAAAAAAAAATCACTCAATCTCACCATATAGAAACAGTAACTTATTTTGATATTCTTCCTCTTAGGCTCCTTCTTATGACTATTTTAAAGCACAGCTGACCCAGGTTTTTCTTCAGTTTAATTAAAACAAAATAATTTATGTGAATAATTCAAGCTACACAGTAAACAGGGAGCTCTGGTAGCATAGTGCCTGAGGCACTTGACTGCTGACCAGAAGGCTGGCAGTTCAAACCCACCAGCCACTCCTTGGAAGGAAGGTTGGGCAATCTCCTTCCATAGTGATACCACCTCAGAAACTTTCAAGGAGGGATTACTGTGAGTTGGTCCAACTTGACAGCACATAACAACAACAACACAGGAAAATAAATCCTCCAATTGAAGGACTCACTCACTCATTGCAGATACTGTCAATGTGAGGTCAATGCTTTTGAACTTGCATGCAGAGAAGAACGTTAAGTCATAAACAAACATACAGCATGATGAATTGTCAGTGAACCCACCCATCTACCAGCACCCAGATGAAGGAAGAGCCCCACACTGAATCCTTGTAACCTGTACACTCTCTTCCAGTCACACCTCCACCCTTTCAAGGAGAGTACAATCATGACTTCTAATAGCATAAAATTGTTATAAAAAGGTTTTCTGTAACAAAGAAATACCAGTCTAGGAAATTAACGATTAGGACAGAATCCTGCATCAGAGGTGTTAATTTCTAATTTTAAAAAAAAATGTTTATAGGATTGTGGAAAGACTTCAAGAAAACAGTTCTAAGCTACTATCGAAGTCAGTGAGAGAGAACCGAGAGTTCCTATCACTTAAGGGAAATCGAGAACCGCCCTCAAATTTTCCGAGTTCTACACAGTTGACTGAAGGTCAGACTATTTACCCTTAAAGAAAGAGTAATGTTGGGAAGACCTCATATTCTTTTCCAAACTAGGATTCCAACATGGGATGTACATTCTGAACAAAACTCTTAGTTGAGATTGTAATTTTCACTGAGGAATATGGAAATGGAAAAGAGAAACAACGGGCAATTACCGCTTGTAGCATGAGCACACAATACGCAGAAAAGCACACACAGTCAGTTTTGGGATTCTAAATATTGCTGCTGCTGTTGCTGTGTGCCATCGAGTCGGTCCCGACTCACAGTGACCCCTCCTTGGGTTGCC